GCTGTCGATCACAGCGCTGTTACCTCCAGCGACATATAGAGAGCTTAACTGGCAATCTTGGTGTACTCAGTAACGATGGCTTTATTAAAAAATTATTAAATCAACAGGACTTGGTCAAACTTGAATCTTTATCAAGGGTAAGAGGTGATGTGGGGTGACGGGGATGGGATGGGCTGGGCCACCCTCACCTGAAGCATTCTGTGGGCAGGGTGTCAGGGTTTGGTACCGCAGGGATTGCCAGCAGTGGGACTCCCAGGATGTGGAGTTCAGGCAACAACAGGTGGGACGTGCTTTGTGGTGTCTTCTTTGAGCACCAGACACCCTCCTGTTGGGCTGGTGCAGCCTGGAGAGTGTAGGGATGGCCACAGGATCAGATACTGGTATTCAAATCCCATCACAAACACTGATTGCCACCAGCTCTTTGTATTTTCATTGTGGTTAAAATAAAAATCAAATAAAGCCCAGAGCTTTTATTGTGTTGCAAACTGATAACTGTTTTGGGGTGTTTTTTGTTCTACTTCAAGTGACAAATGCACAGCTTTGGATGATTTTTGTTATTATGGGTTTTTGCATACAGTGATGAAATAGCAGGCAGTCATTGAGTTTAAACGACTCAGGTGGTTTGTGAATGTATTTTTTTAAATCTCAGAATAATTTGAAACAAAAATCACAGAAGCCAATATTACCACAGTCTTGTCTATGGCATGTGTGTATGGAGATAACACAGAGCAAATGCTTTTCTGGTGCCAACCACAATAAAACACAAAACTTCACCATTAAGCCATGCCTTTTATGTTTGGGTAAATAAAACCTGGGGTGTTGGACATGGAGGTAAAGGGGATTTTCAGGGCTCCCAGTAACCGTGCTCTTTTTCTGAAGACTCTTGGGAAGGTGGTTTCGGAACAGGATGAGTGCAGGGAGGTGGGACATGCTCAGCAGTGAGCAGTGGCCAAAGGATGTCTTGGTGGACCATCACCACCTGAAAACTCCTCTTCTACAAAATCCACCCATGGTTATTATAAAGACATTTCCCCTCCAAATGTTACTAACTTTGATTTGCTTTTCTTTTGCTGCATTTAAAATGTGCTTATGGTTGATTGATGCCCTCAGAAACTACTTATTAGTAGCATTTAAAGAAATAAAACCTGCAGCTCATTTTAAAATCCTGCTTCTGGGACTTTTTGCCCAGGAAAGGAAATTCGTTCAGCTGTACAGTGCTATGAAATTGTATAACTTCAGGGATGAGTCATGGCAAATGGAAGAAAAGCCCTGAGAGCTGGCATGAGGCCATCATGCAAGGGCCATGGTTGGCTGCACCACGCTGGGGAGATGCTGGGTTCCATGCCAGGTGAAGGATGCTCAGAGGTAAGGCTGTAGCAGCTACTTGTGGGAACTGAATCTTTTCAAACCTGTTTCAGAATCATTACCAAATTGCCTTTGGTTTGGGGGTTGACGCTATGTATTTTGGGACAGAGCAGGGATGCTCAAGGTGACACTGGCCCCAACCCAGAGCTGCAGTGGTTGCTGGAAATGGTTGAAGTCAAGCTGCAGTTCATTGTCTCCATGTGAGCCCACTTAAGGTCTTTTCCTGCTCCTACAGTTTGATGCTCTGTGACTGGGGCCAGCAGGAGCATCGTGCAGGCCAGCAGAGACTGAACCTGCCTGCTCCCAGAGGGGTGGGGTGGAGCTCCATGTCACACCCTGCCTGTGTCTGGGCTTAGCCACCCACCTGGCACGGCTCTGAGGAGATCCAGCAGAGATTCCTTAGCAGTCAGGATGGATTTCCTGGCACAGGACACCTGTCACAGCCTCTGCTGCCCTGCAGCATCCGTGTCCTGCCCTGTGCTGCAGTTGGGACCTGCAGCTGGGAGGTTTGCAGGGTTTGCTTCCCAGTTTTTCTCTTCTGGGAGATGCTGCACCACCCAGAGCTGGGGGGTGGGAAGGGGCTCATTAACCTCTGGTATCTTTACAGCAGTGCTGTAAATGCACCGAATTCTCTCTCCTAAATGTGTTTATCAGCCTCAGCTGCTGTCTCACATGTGGCCTCAGCACTGCTGCCTGCCCCAGCTGATGTGCTTAGAGAGGAGAAATGAAAGAACATAATTTTGGTTTCGTGCCAGCCACTGATGTGCTGCATCAGCCTGCTCTTTGATATACAGTGTCTTGCAGACCAGATCTACCTTTTTTCCTTTGTTTTGTTTTGGTTTATGGCATACTTCTTCCTTTTTTTTTAACATCAAAGCTGTCTCTGAATGACCCAGAGCAGTAAAATGGATGTGCAAATTGCCCTGTCACCTGGGTATAGCCTCACAGCCCCTCTGGAATCTTTGAATTCCTTCCACTGAGGTGACAAGCATGTTCAGCTGTTCAAAAGCAGAGCCCCACCATAAACTTAAGCCCATTGCTTTTATCACACATAGATTATCAACACCACCAATTACACTACACACAACACAGAGTAGGCAATAAGCGTGGCAATTCTGTCTAACATTATGCACAGTCCTTGCACTTTATTATTTAAATACAGCATTAGCAATAATGCAGACCCTGTTGTTTGCCAATCACATAAACACTGCCTGGCCAGGCTCTCCAGCCATGGGATGGGTCAGTGTTCCTGTGCTGTACCACACTCTGCACCCTCTGGACTGTGATCACAACTGGCTGTCAGATGTGCAAGAGGTTTTATGGTAGGTCATTCATCCTGGTGGAGCCAGGACTGGTTCTTTATCCTGTAGGAACACTGTTTCTCTCTACCAAGCCAACAATCATCCCCTTTGGAAAGTGATTGCAGTGAGAGGAAGATTTACACATCAACCTTTGCCATCCATGAGCCTTGGGACCAGCCTAAAGCTGGCCTCTGCTAGTCACCACATCCACATCCAGCCCCCTGTTCAGACAATCACAGTCTGTTAGTGCCACTGAGAGTTCAATATGTTAAATACTAAATTTTCTGGGGCCAAGCTGTGGAGGAGTGTGTCACAGCCCAGCTGGCACCAGCCAGGGGCTCAAAGGCAGAGGTGAAGCAGCCCTGGCACTGTGTTGCAGCATCTTGCCTGGCAGGGAGGGTAAGAGGGGCCAGGGAGAGGTGGGAAAACCCTGGGATAACTCCATGCCTTTTGCCAGCAGACCTGGCCAAGGGATATGTGTGGCTGTGGGGCTTCCAGCCTTTGGCATCCACAGTTTCCATGGAAGTGGAAGGGCTGCTCCTGCGGAGGTGAGTGTTGTTCATCCGTGCCTCCAGCACTGTCCAGCTGCTCCCCACCCCATCCTCAGGAAGCTGGATTCCGGGAGGGCTCTGCTCTGAGCAGCAGTGGGCAGGACATGGGAAGGCCACCCTGCTCCTGGTTTGGTGGCCTTTGATCCCTCCAGTTCCAGTAGTCTGGGAAGAAAAGGGAGGGAAAGCTCTTTGTGCCAGGCACCTGCAACAGGATGGGAATCCCTGAGGGGTATATGGGAATCTTGGAGGGGAACATCTGTCCTGGCAAAGTTTTCACACTGCCTGAAGGTTTGGTCTTGGGTGAGGGCCCCCATTTGTTTTCTGATTAAAGCCTTAGCAGCCTGGTAATTGTCAAATCCTGACAGTCCCATTGTGAAGGTATTTAACTGCAATGCAAAGAAACTGCTTGTAAATGCCTGGGTATCCACACACAGCGAGCAAACAAACACCATTGGCAAAGATCTCAGCAGGAAGGACAAATATTGGGGAAAACTAAAAAGCTCAGCCTTGGGGCCCTTCCTGTCACAGCTACACCAGCCCTAGAGGGGAACGCAGATGCTGTGGCTGGAATCAAAGCCTGCTTAATGTAATGAACTTTCCTCTCCCAGTTAAAGTTTTACCTTTCTGGAGACCAGTGCAAAGATTAGTGGTCTTACACTCATCTTTGTTGTTTTTTCTCTTGCTCTTCCTCTGTAGAAAGTACATTTTGTGCTCATGTGAAGCCTGGCTGACTGAGAGCATCATCCAATGAGTGCTGTAGCTTGGCTGCTGAGCCCGTCAGGGGCTGATCTGGAAGATAATGACTTTAATCAGCATTAATCACCTTCCCGGCTGACTCAGACTTTGGCACGGTCTGCTGCCGCTAAGGATGCCACTGTCCCCCCCACCCCGGCCCTGCAGCTCCTCTCTCTGACCATGTCAAGGACAGCAAATCCCGAGCCCGAGCAAGACCAGCTCAGACCAGCTTGTGCAGATGTGCAAAGTTCGTGAAAGCCGAGTGAGCTAACGCAAAAATATTTGGCAGCATCAGTAGCACTTGGCAGCATTGGCAGTATTACCCAGAATCCACAATATTTGACAGCACAGCCATCAGCTGGTGGTAGTTCGTTCACACCACTGTAGGATTTTTAATGAAAGCCTCTTTTAATGTACTATTCTGGGTAATTTTGTTGTGTTCTATGTCTATACACACAGCTATCTCCTCTGATAGGTGTGTACTGGCATTAGAGCTGCCTGCTGAGGGGGCTCTGTGTATGCAGGTGTCTGTGTATGGATACACAGAGAGACCTGTATACATCTGTGTTTATATGTGGCTCTGTATGTGATATATACACATGAATATATTTCAAAGCAGGTGCTAAATGCTATTTAAATAAAACTCTTAGTCATTTTCTAGCTGCTTTGCTACTAGAAAATGTGCTGGAGAGGTTTCTTCTCCCTGATTCACCAAGAGGATTGTGATGTGACATGCACACCCAGCACAGAAGCCAAGGTAGGTGTTGAGCATCTCAAAACAGGCTCAAGCCCCTGGCACGTCACATTCCCAACTGTTCAGCTGAGGGACAGCCCCAAACCAGCCCTGTGGCTGGATCATTTGAATTTTCCAGATCCACTCCATGTCTTTGCAGGTCTCTCATTGTTTCGTGTGTGTCCCAAACACGGGGATTGGTGGTGGCTGCTTTGAGCTGAGCGGTGGCCAAATAATGCGTGGAAGACTTGGGTTTCTCATTAACTCCAGAGTTGATATAGTCCCATCTTTCCAAGCACCAGCCCGTTTTCCTGCCTCCATCCCAGCTCTGCTGTCCTTCCTTCCCTGCCCAAGCCTTCACCTTGCTCTGCAGCCCAGGACAGTGACTGTTCCCGGACGGAGAGCGGAGGAGCAGCAGGGTGGATGAGAGAAGGAAAATGCAGACAGAGAAGGTAATCATGGCTCCCCGGGATTCTTGCACTAGACTTTCCAGTGGAATTACTAAAATTTCTGCAGGACCCCAGCACTGAGCAATCCCTTGCCAAAACCAAAACTAACAAAAAAAATCCCCTCCACTAATTAACTGGGCACTGATGGCAAAAGAGAAAAGGGCCAAGGGGCTATTTTTTATTTTAAGAGGTCTGTTGGCTCACTGGATAACTTTAACTGTGATGGGAAGAAGAAATGCTTTAAACAGCACTGCTGGAAAACCCTGTCAGTGTTTTTTTCCCAGCTGTTGTACTCCAGGGATGGGGATGGGGAGCAATTGCTGCTGCTGCTGCTTCTTGCACCTCTGTACTGGGCAGAGCTTTGGCTCCCACAAGCTCCAGGGCCAGGACAGGCAGTACAGCAGGGAGAGCTGGACTGTCATTGTGGGGCAACACCACTCTGCCCTGGGGGCCTGATCTTGCCTGTCCCCATAGCCTTTCCTTCTCCTTTGGAGCAAGCCAACCACCTGTGCTGCTGCAGCAGCACCCCTGGATGCCACTGTCCCAGCCAGCTGGGCAGCAGGGTCCCCTGGGACAGGGTGGGATGCAGCCCTCCCCCAGTTTTGGCACTGCTAGGACAGTATGATGAGGCTGTTCTTTGCTTCCTGCCCCAGCACCTCACAGGAACACTGGTCCTCTCTGTCTTCACTGCGGTTTTGGGCTTCTTCCAGTATGGCTACAGCCTGGGGGTCATTAATGCCCCCCAGAAGGTAAGTTGAGCCCCTCAAGCTGTGCATGGCAAAGGAACTACGGCCTCAGGGCAGCCAGGGCCAGTTTGTCCCTTGCAGAGGCCCTCAGGAAGACTCTGTCCCTTCCCAGGCAGTTTCTCCCACAGAACAAAGCCCCCATGACAGGGCAGTGGGCTGAGAACACAGCCAGGACCCTCCACTGTCACTTCCCCAGGGAAAGGAGAGGGATTCTGCTCACAATGGAGCTGTTCCCACTGCAACACAGTCCCTGTGCCTGAGCCAAGGGATTGTACCCCTCCACCAAATCCAGTGCCAAATCCAAACACCATGCTCAGCCCAGCCCCGGGAGGGGGAATGCTTAGTGCCTGCCCTTGTGGCCCACCTTCGCTGAGGTCTGGGTGTTGTGGAGCTGGGGGACCCAAGATTTTACCCCTGCAGAGCCTGCAATGCAAATCTTTTTTTGAAGTGAAATAAAATCCAAAACGGGGGTTGGGGTGGTTATAGATCCCAGCTGAGGTGTTTCTCTTCTTTGCCTCTCACAGGTGATAGAAGCGCACTACGGGCGCGTGCTGGGCATTGTGTCCCCAGACAGATACTCCACCAATGCCTCCGGGGAGGATGGCACGTTCCTCCAGGCTGGCACAGAGGGCACACTCCCACCCCCGACTGACGGCAGTGAGGAGCTCGCTGCCTCCCCACACATCCTCACCATGTACTGGTCCCTGTCCGTGTCGGTGTTTGCTGTTGGAGGCATGGTCTCCTCCTTCACCGTGGGCTGGATCGGCGACCGGCTCGGGAGGTGAGAGGCTCATGTGTGCTCTGACTCTGTGCCACAGCCCAAACCCTTCTGATTGATTTTTTCCCATAGAACTATTTCCTCCCTGTGGAAATACCATTTGTGTAATTTTCAGCAATTTAGGAAAAAAAGGAAAAATAACCCTCCCAATTTCCAAAATACTGTTTCAACCAGGCTGGGCTTTTTAAAACCCTCAGTTACAAATCAGACATTTTATTGCAACTTGAGTGTTTCAGAGAGCAGCTGATGAGCAGCCTTGATTAAGTTCTGAATTCCCCCTTTTCTTTCCATGGCAAAAGGAAGAGGAGGATATCTGCATGGTATTTGCACAGGATGTAAAGTATCATTTATAATATCATTTTAACTACTCTGATTGTACCCTGGTCCCTGTATTTTGCAGTGCTTGCTATCATTGTTTTTCCCCTGTAGTACTGATTAAGTGACTTCTCAGTTCCTCTTGTGTGTTGCAATGGCTGCTTTGGCTGAGAGAGGTGCCAGAGGAGCTGTGCTGCTGCTGCCTTGCAGAGTGAAAGCCATGCTGGTGGTGAACGTCCTCTCCATTGCTGGGAACCTCCTCATGGGGCTGGCGAAATTTGGGCCATCCCACATCCTCATCATCTCCGGGAGAGCGGTCACGGGGCTGTACTGCGGTGAGTCCAGGCTGGGTCAGCCACTGAAAGCAGCTCCCTGGTAGCGTGTCCAGGGCTGCAGTTCAGTTTCCCATATTTTTTAATCCTTTTTTAGTTCAGAAGGGGTTTCACAGGTGGGAATTTCCCTGCTCTCCCTGTCTGCCCTTCGTGATCCAGGATCTTTCCCAGAAGTGTTTGGGTTGGCTCTATCAAATCTTTATTTTACACATCCTGAAAGGAGCAGGTCCCTCTGAATCTCAAGGATGAGTCTTGCTGGTGGCTGCTGCAAGAGCACATCACTATCCAGGCTGCTTAACATCTTCCCTAGACAGAGAGCATGGGACCACTGTGCACAAAGAGGATATAGCCAGCAAATAATTGGGAATTACATTGGAAATCACAGCTCTTTATACTGTTACTGGTATTCAAATACAATACTCCACTCTGAGGTTTCAAGGCACGCTTTAAGAAGGCTCTTCACCCTGTGATAACTTCAGCAGATAATCCCTGCTCTGTGCTCGGATGTGTGTGTTCAAGTAAAAAGGCTTCCCAGGTTGGGGCTCTGAATGCAGGGACATCCCAGCACCTTTCCAAGGTGCAGGTGGCTCCCAGCCAGGCGTGAGGGGCTCGGTGGGGTGTGGGGTGCAGCACACAGGCTCCATCCTCCTTTCCTGTTTGGGAAGTGCCTTCTGCTGGTTGCTGAGCTGTGTCTGGGAGGGGTGACACCCCCGTGTGCTCGCTGCAGGGCTCTCCTCGGGACTCGTGCCCATGTATGTCAGCGAGGTCTCTCCCACGGCCCTGCGAGGAGCGCTGGGGACGCTGCACCAGCTTGCAATTGTCACAGGCATCCTCTTCAGCCAGGTAAGCAGGAAAACACACACATCCAGAGAGGGCGTTTCAGAGAATAGGAAGACCATAGTGATGTACTGGGTTATTGTTTACCGTTCCACCCCAAAACTGAAGGAGTGTGCAAAACAATCTGCTTTAACAGGGTTAAACGCCTGCTTTCAGTAAGATGTGTCTTAATAAAGACAACTTCTCAAGAAATAAAAAATACTTCTGGCAAACAATTTCTCCTCTCCCTGAAAAATTTTTTTCAGCATCTCATCAGTGTCAGGATCCTGAGCATTAGACTCCTGAAAATCAGGTTCTCAAAAATGGCTTCATCAGGGATGTAGGGAGCCCAAACCCCCATCAGCGTTGCCCACCATGACACAAGTCCCAGCTACACAACAGTTGGGCACATAAATATACAGAAAACAAACACATCCAGAAAAAGAGTTGGTATTTGCTTCTAGTTTTCCCCCAGCTTGTCACTTCAAAAGACCATAGTGGTCAATTGCTTTCTCTTCTTAGGGTACAAAACGATCCACTCAAATATGCTTCAATTATTTCAGATCCTTGGACTAGACTTTCTTCTGGGCAATGACGAGATGTGGCCCCTGCTGCTTGGCCTGTCTGGCGTGGCTGCCCTGCTGCAGTTCTTCCTGCTTTTACTGTGCCCTGAGAGCCCTCGATATCTTTACATCAAACTGGGGAAGGTGGAGGAAGCTAAAAAAAGTAAGAAAGACATTCTGGGCTTGTCTAGAGTTGGTTTTATGCTTTACATAGTACAAAACAGAGAAGGAAAAGTCTGGCTGAAGACTCAGATGTGACTGTGGTTGTTCCATCTAATGCTCTGAGCTGCTGAGTTACAAACTAGCCCTGGATCAAAAACTATTGAGACATTTGCATGAGTCTGAGCAGCACTGCTGAGGGATTAGGCTCAAGAGTGATCTCAGGGCTGTTGCAGAGCTGATGTGCTGCTGTCCCTGACTAAGCAGATGCACCCTGGATCCTTGGCTTACCTTGAATTTTGCCTAAAGAGATTTTGTCCTTATGTATACAACTTATCTACCACTGAAAATAAAATGTCAATCTTTTTTTTTCCCTAAGATTTGAAAAGGCTCAGAGGAAACTGTGATCCAATGAAAGAGATTGAAGAGATGGAAAAGGAAAAGCAAGAAGCTGCTAGTGAAAAGAAAGTCTCCATAAGACAGCTTTTCACCTCTTCCAAGTACAGGCAGGCTGTCATTGTGGCACTGATGGTGCAAATATCCCAGCAGTTCTCAGGAATCAATGCGGTGAGTCTCCCCAAAATGTTTGTCTCTCAAGAGATTCATGGTGAGCATGAAAAGGCAATTCTGGCTCCATCCAAGCCATGCAGGGATGGAAGAAGGCTTTCCCATGGCTGTAGTGGGCTCCTGGGTCCCTGCCAAGCTGGCTGTGGGAGGGAGGAGGGGAGAAGGGTGGGAGGGAGTCCAGCACAAAACCAGCTGGCACAGCAGGCCCACGCTGAGCCCTCCCATGATCCTCACCTACCCAAGTCTGTCGGCAGTTTGCTGTCTTTCATGACATCATGCTTACCTCAGATTCACTATTTTCTAGCTGTTTTTAGCTAAACAACTTTTGCATCACGTCCTGGAATACCAGAAATCCATTTGACACCCAGAAACATTAGGGAGCACACAGGGATGCCCAGCCTACCAGGCTCCAGGCCATGCCCATCCCATCCACCAGCCATCCTTTACCTCCTGCCCTTAACTTTCACCAGAAAGGAATAACCTTATTCTTGGGGAGAAGAAAAAAATGGGAATCATTGCAATGAGAATATTTTAAAATTAAGATATTTGTTTCATACTAAGATATTTATCTTGAGTGCTCAGTGCTGGTGATCTGGATTTCATATTAAACATAGACTACATAGAAGAAAACAGATTTAATGTGCAAATGCAGTAGCTCAAGAGGGGAATTTCAACAGGATTTGTAACTCCCTCAGGCTCCTATGAAATTTTCAGCTTTAATTATTATAACAAGCCATTAAAAGTTGAAAAATTAATCATAATTAAATTACGCCACATCTCAGCCAAGCAAGTGCATGCTCTTCCCTCATGAAAACAAAAAGTTTCAACAAACCTGTTGCCTAATCCTTCATCCTGATGTATTCTGATAGATCTTTTACTACTCCACAAACATTTTCGAGAGAGCTGGGGTTGACCAACCAGTTTATGCAACCATCGGTGTTGGAGTGGTGAACACGGTCTTCACTGTTATCTCTGTAAGTAAATACTTCTGCCCCCTGGACTACAAAGACACATAAGGTACAACGTGGTTTTGAAACATGATTTTATCCTGGAGCTGGAATTTGCAGTGTTGCAGGACTGACCCTGAATGGCTTACAGGGAAATATCATTCCCTGGGAAAGTTGAATTTGAAAATGCAAGCCTTGACATGTGGCTATCGATCAGCACTGCTTAAATGCCTTGTGAGTGGAAACTGCACCACTGTGTTCAGGGCAGCTCTGAAAACTCTGCATTTCCCCCCAGAATAAAAGTTGACCATGCAATTCTACAGGTCCTATTTCCCCAGAGAGCAGGCAGGGGATGGGGACCCTGACGGGGAAGTCACCGGCTCCCAGTCTGCTCTTACCTGTTATCTTTCAAACTGTTTTCTGTATGTACATAGCACCTGCACGAGTGATATCCAAAGGCTATTCCACAGTAATAAAAGTAATCCAGCACCTATCCTCATCCTATCTGTGCAGGGCTCTGCAGCAATAAAAGGATGGTTCTGTTTCCACAGACCTCCTCTTCATTTATCTCTCTCTTGAGAGGATTAACACAGTTCCTATCAGCTGGCAAATAGTTTTATAATGTGGCCATTAATATAAGACCAGGAAATGCCAGGCTTATTTCCCTCATATCTCTTTAGAGATTTAGGGAGTAAAGAACTTTCACCAACATGATGCAGGATTGGCTGCAAGGCAGAAATACACAGCTCCAAGAGATTTAGGACAAGGAGACAATTTTAAACTGACAGAGAGGAGGATTTGATTAGATATTAGAAAGAAATTCTTGTCTGTGTGGGTGGTGAGCCACTGGCACAGGTTTCCTAGAGAGGTTGTGGATGCCCCATCCCTGAACTGTCCAAGACAAGGCTTGGTCTTGTGGAAGGTGTCCCTGCCTATGACAGGGGGTTGAAATTGGATGATCTTTAAAGTCCCTTCCAACCCAAACCATTCAAACCCCAATATGTGTGAGAGAGGATATCTTGGAGTATACCTGCCTTAGAGAAAGTCCATTGTAGGCCCCATGAGGAGAAAATGTGATGTTATGTGTGTAAAATGAGGCACAGAGGTGTGCAGCTGGAAGAAACCTTTCTTTAGCATGGAGGGTGTCCTGCAGTTTGATCCCCATGGCTGTAGTACTTGCAGCCTTGGGCATTTGCTCTTTGCTTCTTTTGTCCACGAGCACTTAAAAATTACCTGCTTTTGTCAATAAATGACAGACCCCGATCAAAAGGCAGAAGTGCTGACAGCTGGGTGGACCTTGAAAAGGGAGAAGGGAGCAGAGACTCATCCTCTGCAGCTTCACGTGTGAGCACATGAACTGCCTCTAGCAAAAGAGACTCTGGGAATTGTAAATCATGGCTGTAATGGCAGCAAAAGTGGAGCTGCTGGCCAGAGGTGTCCTTTCAAGCAGAGGGGAAGGAGCAGGCAGCCTCAGAGGCTGATGTGTGGTTATGCCAGGACAGCTGCACTGTCCTCTGGACGGAACTACAGCTCCCTGTTGCGTGAGGTGTCTGGTACAGACTTAGGTATCCGTCAAAAACTGGGTGACATGGCTGGAGTCCACCAAGAGGAGCTGAGAAGGAGCAAACTAAGCTTTGTGACTACCAGCAAAGCAAAAGGAGTCTGGGAGTGATTGGAGGAAAAATCCTGACTGCACCTGCTACACAACTATCCCTGCCTTAGGACAGGCAAGGTGCAATGGCCCGTGACGTGACCTGAATTGTGCTACATTTTGAAGCCTGATTTCAAACTAATGCAGACCTAGTAAGTTTTTAGTTCCTGGAAGAAAAAAAGAAAAGGGAGAGAGAAAAAGTCCACAGTCAGCAATTCACGTGTAGGAGCAGTGGGAAGTCCTGAGAGCTTGGAAATACATGGGCTGTGAGTGTGTGTGCCTTTGCCTTACCCTTGGCAGGGTGACTGCTCAGTCAGGCTCCCCAGCAGCTGCCAGCAGAGTTTCTGACACTTGGAAACCAGGAAATAAATCTATACCACTAGAGTTAAAAGAGCAAAAGAACAAAAGAGCAAAAGTGTGACACTGGTAACAGGCTGGTTATTGCTAAAGGACCTGATCCTGAGAGTGGTGGTGCTGCACACTGAGCTCCTGCTTGTGTTTCTACAGGTCTTTCTGGTGGAGAAGGCGGGCAGGCGGTCCCTGTTCCTGGCAGGTTTGATGGGCATGTTAGTCAGCGCTGTGGCCATGACAGTTGGGCTTGTGCTCCTGGTAAGGATTTCTCTCCATTTTTCCCCCCTGGTTTGAAAATAAGATCCCATCAAAGTCAGTCCAAACCATTGCTGCAAGCCCCTGTCAAGATGAAAACGCAAATAAGAGGTGGCCTCCTTTGCTGAACACCCTGGTTATTAAAGGGTGCCATTCTGCCTCATTTTGCTGAGCTGCAGGCAAGGAGAGGGCTCAAAGTAACAGCTGAGCTGATGACTGTGAACTCCTCCAGGCAGCAATGCTGGCACCACATGCCCAGCCAGCACCTGGCACAAGAGTTTAAAACCTTAATTATTCATGTCCTGTCTCCCTTTGTCTGAATAGAAAGAATTTTCTGAAAAAGAAGCCTAAATAAAGTAATTAGTGTTAATTAATGAGAGTTACTTTAGGACTATAACACCAACCTCTTGCAGAGCCAGTTTGCCTGGATGAGCTACGTCAGCATGGTCGCAATCTTCCTCTTCGTCATCTTCTTCGAGGTGGGGCCCGGGCCCATCCCCTGGTTCATCGTGGCCGAGCTGTTCAGCCAGGGCCCGCGCCCTGCCGCCATCGCCGTCGCCGGCTTCTGCAACTGGGCCTGCAACTTCATCGTGGGCATGTGTTTCCAGTACATAGCAGTAAGAAATCTCTTAAATCATACAAATAAATGACTGGCACGATCCCGTGTGAATGTGCCTCCCAGATTTCCATCCCCTGGCCTGGCTGGGATCCCCAGCTAGCCAGGGTAGGAAGGGGAAGCCATCCCTGTGGTGCTGATGGTGGTCTCCCCGTTCTCACTTTCCCACTGCAGGATCTGTGTGGACCATACGTGTTTGCAATCTTCGCGGGTCTGCTCCTCATCTTCCTGCTGTTTGCGCACTTCAAAGTGCCGGAGACGAAAGGAAAGTCCTTTGAGGAGATTGCAGCTGTGTTCCGCCGCAAGAAGCTCTCGGCCAAAGCCATGACTGAGCTGCAGGACCTGCGACGCAGCGAGGAGGCATAGACATCCCATGCACCCAGAAAGGAGGGACTGGGCATGCACGACTGGGCATGCACCTCCTTCAGGCACCATGGGAAGAATGCTGGGCAAAAGTCTCGTTTCACAAAAACCTTGCAGCTGGCAGACCAGGCGAACCCATCCATCGGATTCCTTCTGGCTGCTGCAGTTCACACCTCCCAGCCACAGGTGCTAACCTGGCATTTTACTCTGAGACACTTGGGACAACTGGGCTGCAGGTAGAGCTAGGGAAAGGACAGGAGGAGTACAGTACATGTCCATCTCAATGCCCTTCTGGAAGAGCCCAGTGGGACAGTGATCTTGCCAGACAGCATTGAGCAGGGCCATCTCGTAGCTGAAATGAAGGAAAGAGGGGCTGGCTGATGCTGCAGCCTCATGTTTTCACTTTTTTATCCCCATCTCTCTGCTTCATTCTGCTGAGTGACCTGAGCCACCAGCACACAGCACTGCTCACCGAGGTGCTAAGGAAACAGGTGGAGCAAACACCCCCTTACTCTTGCTTCTGCAGAGGAAGATGGTGGATCCCACCTGAGCTGGTTGGGATGTACTTCCCTTGCTTTGCTATCTCTGCATTATGGAAATGCTGTCTGATCTCATATGGATTTCTCAGTTGCAATATTTTTTTGGAGAATCTTAGAAACTGTGGCTGGGCTGATGGGTATTTTTCCTACATTTCGGCCAGAATATTTAGCTCTCTCTTTCCTCCCAGGAAGCCTCTCCTCTCCTCTCCTCCTTCTCACTGCTGCAGCACAAGGCATAGCACAACACTGACCACACAAAAAACCTGGGCACTCTTGGCCTCCATGTGAGGAGATTCGAGTCCTGCTGTCACCCCTTCCATGGTGTGACCATTGCCAGGGCACCTCCTTCCCTTCCTTTCATACAGTGCTCCAGACCCACAGGCTCCAGGTCCAGCCAAAGGCTCAGGGTGCTCATAGAGCAACAATTACTGATGACCCAAAGAAGATATTGGAAGGTTAACTGGAAAGTGCCACTTACCTAACCTCCATTTTGCATCACTTAGCATTTTGCTGGCTGGATGTGCTTCAGCCAAGATAGTGTGCAAGCAGGAGGTCATGCTGTTTCCATAGCCTTGTTTGTGCTCCTTTTGCTTTTTTATGAGACATTTTTATGTGGCAGAATCAAACTCCAAGGATTTTTCTTCCTTTTTTGGGGGCGTATTTTGTAACCATTGTAAAAGCCTGCTCTCTGCTTGACTTTTAAGACTTGCATGTTCCTTGTTGTGTTACCAGGTTACTTTTTAGCAATTTTTTCAGGGTAGAAACCCATTATTTATTTAGAGATGAAACACCAGCATTGCTTGGTCACTGTGTGCTCACCAGGGCTGCTGGTGAAGCAGTGGCCAAAATGTAACAGATAATTGAGCATAATGAAAAGCGCAAAATAGATGGGCTGAGGAGGATCATGCTGCTGCTATGGGTTTGGTTTTACGAGAGGTTCACGCTCCTTTCCATGTGCCTGAACTTTTTTTCCTTTGTAGACTTTACTGTCTTGGTATCAAGACCCTACAGCACACTCTGGTCACTTCCAAGTGATGACAAGTGCAGCCACAAGGTCCACTGGCAGAAATGCCTGTCCCTGGTGTGTGCACTGAAGCAGTAAGATTGCACCAAAGGCTTTGCTGGAGTGACTGCAGGGATTTAACTAGAGGAGAACTGGGTCAGTGCTGTCATGTGCTGCAGTGGTGGGTGACCCAGGTCTGACACAGGGCATGCAGGGCTGTTGGAACCAGAGCCAGGGGCACAGGCCTGTGTGGAGCTGTCCATCTGTGTCCATCTCCCCAGGCGAGACCAACAGCCACGGCAGGCTCAGAAGCTCTCCACTGGCTCTGTTTACTGTAACTTAAATATAATGGATTATCTGAATGTACATTGTTATCTAGGTCTGTTAGATAAAAGATGAACAACATCTATGTCGTGATGGCTTGCGCTGCTGTTTTTCCCCCTCTGTACAATCTCAGACATACATCCAGTGCCAGATGAGAGCCATTTCCCCAGCAGGACACATTTGCTCCACAGGTGGTAAAAGCTGTGCAAGCCCTCAGCTAAATCCCTTTGAAACAGGTGCTCCAGAGGTGAGACTTGGGGTTGGAGGCAGCCCTAGAGCTGGTGACAGCTGGCTTTGGGCCGGGATGAACCCTGACTGGAGGGGTGCCAGAGTCTGGCCCCAGCTGTACACACTGCCCACCTCACCCCACTGTGAAGCACCTCCCTTCCATGGTGCTGGTGCCTAAAACCTGGTGGTGGGGCCTCTGTAGGCACGAGAGGCAGGAGGAGCATTTGGGAAAAAGTGAAGTTCAAAGCAGATTTGCTCCTGCACTCAGGGCTCAGTCTGGCTGGGTTCCCTGTGATCATACAGGGGGTATGAAATTATTTCCTAAACTTCTGCTAAGTTTTGTCCTTTTGTCTGGGAGGGCATCAGTGACTCTGCCAGCAGCTCAGCAGTGAGGGGCCTTATTGATCAACATTGAGCAGGCAGTCCTGGTTTTCGCGTGGTGAATGACAATAGAAAGTCTGGTCCAGTTACTGTAGTGCAGCACATAAATCAGTTTAACAAAGCTCACAGCTACAACACTGAACTTCCCAGAAGAGCTGCCTGCGGGTTCAGAGGCACCTAAGGAAAATGGAGTGTCAGGCTGTGTTTCCTTGCAGCAGCTGCCATGTGGAAGGTAAGGGAGTTTTCTCCTTCCAGCCTGGGACAGGGTGAGCAGAGTAAGGCATTGCTGGCCCTTTGTCCTCCCCATGGCTGCAGTGAAGGATCAAGCTGGGCTTTACTATCACAAGAGCACTTTAGCCATATGCCAGCACAGGACGGGGTCATTAGAGTTAGTTAAATCTGACGATATGTTTACTTTTGTCTCGTCCCATCAGGCTGACAATTAGGACTGTACACTTTATCTGTCCTTGCTACATGCAAGTTCCAGTTAAAACTTGTTCTTGAGACACAGCTTGTTGAATCACCATTTTTATCTCTCACAATTACAGTTTTACTAAGTTGCTAATCATTAAGAAAATTTAAAAGACCAAGTCAAACTTATTAGCTAAATGGTTGTTGCATTTTAGTAACATGCTAAATATGTTCTCATACCATGCCTGGCTAATAATGCAATATAATTAATAATCCCTGAGAAAGCATCTTGTCAGCAAGAGCTTTGACAGTGTTTTCCTAATGTGCTGAGACAACAGCCATTAGGACTTTTCTGTTGTGCCAACGCTATCTAGTCTCCCACTCTCTAGGCTTAATTTTAAAATTAGTTTGACTTCCCTAATTCAATAAACTCAGGACATTTGGCCCCATTAACGCTCTCCACACTAATTTATCACAGGTTTTTCTGCCTCACTTCAACTTGTTTTTCATCACTGAGAAGCACTACCCTCTATCTCTGGAGTCAAACAGCTGATAGTAATGAAGCTAACCCAAGTACTAGGTATGCAGGGACAAAGTCTTTGGGGTATGATGAATTTTCTGAGGTGTTTCATGTTCTTATCTTTCACCAGAAATCTATGGGAACTGAGGAATTTTAAGGTAGGATATCAGGTCTGGATCCAGGAGAATGTGTAAGCATCAGATTAAATTTAAGATAACTGGATGTGCTCGAGTGTTTCACTAAATCCTAAAGCAACACTGGCAAATTTTACCCAGAGGCACAGCCTGAGTAGCTGTGCTGAAAGGGAAGCAATCTCCTCCCGAGCACTGGGGCAATAAATCCTGGCTGCAGATCAGCAGTCCTTAAATTCTACAGGCTGTAGATACAACTGCAGACCCAAGGCTTGGTTAGCGCCCTGCATTTTGCCTCCCTGCACTCTGTTCAGGAAAGAGAGGGGCTCTGTGACTCTGAAAACTTCAGGCCCCCGCAGGTCCGGGTGGAATATCACTGCTCCGGCACTGTGGCAGCCCCAGGAGGAGGGAACAGCTGGAGTTACTTTGTGCTTTCCTTCTAGTTACAATTACAGTGGTTCCTGCTAGCTCACAGTGTCACCGCTTGCCTCTGATCCCCGGGTGTGCCCAGGGTGATTCCCTGGGCATTCCCACGTGGGCTCGGCACAGGAGGAAGATGGTGAATGGCAGGACTAAAGCAGTGCCCGGAGCAGAGTGGGGGCAAGGTCACTGCAGAGGGTCCCTGGCCCCACTCCTGCAACATAGACACACTGCACCTCGGAGCTCTGAGGGCTTGCTGAGCGTGGCACTGCCCTGTGGAGGGGGATTGCTGATCCACAGCTCCTCTCACGTCCTCCTGCTCAAGGCTGTGCCCACAAGCCGGCGTGAATCCTCACCCCAGCAGTCAGGACACGGTGGGATCCAGGAAAGTCAGCTCAGCAGCTGAAACGGAGACACTGCTCAGGCTGGAACAGGGCTGTTTACACCACTCCGCTCATGACCTGGTATTTCCAACCGGGTGCCCTGACCCCAGGGCCCAGAGGTGTAAACAGCATCTGCCTTCCGTGGGCTGCCTCCTGCCTTCCGTGGGCTGGATGGAAACAGGTGGGATGTTTCTGGAAACAGGTGGGATGTTTACCCCAGCGCTGGCTGAAATGCATCGTCTCAAGGCTGGGCTTTGATGAGGTGCTTTAGGGCATCAGACACTTCTCCAGGACACAACTGAGAACAGACACAACTCACTCAGTTTAAATCTTACTTTTTTTAGTTTTCTAGTCCCTTTTCACTTCTTAAAGACACAGATAGGAGAAGAAAAACTTGATAACATTCTGAGCCTGCTTGAGAGAAAAGATGTGTGATCCAGCCATGCAACACTGGAAAGAAAATACCTTTAAATATGAAAGGCCGTGGTATTTCATTTACAAATATGCTGTGAATCAAAATGCTGTTCTTGTATAGAAAAGTGGGATAATCACATTAATACTATCAAGAACTGCACTTTAGAAAATTAATGTTGATCTAGACACAGGAATGATGCCTGCAGGCAATAACTGATGGATTGGATTTCCAATGTTTTTTATTGAATCTCAAATAAAAGCTGTCTTGGAATATTTGTTTTGGGTCTGAAAAAAATAAATATCATCTACAGCACACTTCAGTAAAAAGACTTGATTTAGCCCAGAAGATCTCTCAAGTAATTCAAAATGAATCTGTTAATTGTGGAAAATCAGCCAAATTTATAAACTGATACTTGAGAAAGTCATCAGTAGTGCTTAGCCCCAGGCTGCTGCAGTTTGGGTTAAGAACAGTTGGTCGTTTTCTCACAAAGTGTTTTTTGAGAAGATAAAAAAAGCCCTAGAGCGTGTGCAACTGGTCACACACTTGCAGGTAGACAAACACACACTGCACATGTTACAGCACTTACCAGGATGCCCCAGATTCTGCTTATCAACTGAGACAGCAGTAAACGGGCAGGATAAAGGGTATCATCTCCAGAGCAGGCTGGGTGAGGCAGCATCCAGGGAAAGCCCAAGTAAAGCAGAGAGATGATGCTGAGGTCTCATGAAGTGGCCCCAAACTTAACTCCTTGGCTGTACAATTTGGAGTGTGTAACCAAGGACCACAGGCAAACAAATCACAAAAATTAACACAGATCAAATAAAACATCTCATGGTGAACCATTTAAAAATGTGATGTTAAAAGTGACTACCCCATTAGAGCACAGATGACAAAGTCAGGATCTCAGGGCAAAAAATGTAGGACAGCACACAGCAGCCTGTGGTGGTGATGGCTGAGGCAGGGGCTCCCACTGCTGCCACTGAATCCCTGCGTTTTCCTGTTTTTGTTGTGTTTGTAGGTGATCTGCAGGGCACCCTACAGAGCCAAGGCTTATCCGCCAGCAGCTCTACAGGAAAGCTCCTGGTGAATTTGTTCAAACAGCTCCAAGTGTTATGACATCTGATTAGGAGGGATTTAGTAAAAACAGTCCTTTGGCCTCAGGACCCCTCGATCAACCTTCCATAGCCACAGCCTCTCCTGAGGCAGCGCAGGGAATGGTTGTTGGACAGGATGAGGGCTGTGTCATATATTTAGAATATTTTGGATTGGAAAATCTCTTTAAAGATCATCTATTCCAAACCATGGGTACTGACATCTTTCATTAGATCAGATTGCTCTAAACCCCCTCCACTCTGCCTGGAACATTTCCAAGGACAGGACATCCACAGTTTTCCTGAACCGGGTTTTTCCAAACCTACCCTCTTTTCAGTTTGAAACCATTGGCTCTTGTCCTGTCACTATGGGCCCTGGTAAAAAGATCTCTTACACATAATCCTCCTTTATATCTGGAAACACTGCAACAAGGTATCCCTGGCACCTTCTCCAGGCTGAACCCCAATTCTGACTTTCTTTAAAAGATCATCTTCATGGTCCTCCCCTGGATCTGCTCCAACAGATCCATTTGTTTCATACGGTGGGGATTGCCACATGGAGGAGGCCACAGTATTCCAGTACTAATAATTCCACCATTAACAGAACATCACACAGAAACCTTTGGTAAGGAACTCGGCCATCTCCATCCCTTTAGGCTGATTATAATGGTCTCAAAACGTTCGTTTCTGATTACTCCGAGCGGGGGCACACGAGGCACACAAAGGAGTTTTGTCTGTACAGTCACACACGGCTTTGGGGACATTTTGGGGACACACATTCCCCCTAAAGTCGCTCTAACTCCCAGGCCGCCCTCACGCACCCGCGGCCGCCTCAGCCGCCCAAGATGGCGGCCGGCCGTGTGCGCTGTGCGGAGGCGCCGCCTGGCGGCCGGTGAGCGGCGCCTCCGCAGCGCGCTGACCCCGCCCCCGGGGAGGGGNNNGGGGAGCCCGGCCCGCGCTCCCCGCTCGGCTCCGTGCCCGTCCCGCTGTCCCCCCGCGGCCGCGGGGCCCCGAGCCGACCCCTCTGTCGCTGTCGCGCAGCCCCCCCGCCGCCAGTGCTCCCCCCCGCACCGCCATGGCCGACGAGCTCGACTTCACCACGGGCGATG